TACATATACAGAACAAAAAATGACAGATGATTGAAAAAGAAAATAAATAAATTAGGGAGGGGAAAATATATCAAGGAGGACAGACAGCATCATAAATATTTAAGATTAACATACATAGTTTTTTCAGCATATTTTCGTTTTTAGTTGACATTAGTTCCATGAATTTAATAACATTCAGTCTGTGGGAATAATAATTGCCGAGGTGATTTTTTTCTTACAATAGCGGAAGTTTTACATTCTAAGATATAATGAAATTCATCAGCAGTTTGAGTATTATATTACAAAGTGTACCTGTAGATTTTCACACAGTGGTATACCATGCCATCTTTCAGTCTCTACTGGCAGTTACGCAATTACGGGTAAGTGCGAAAACAGAACGCCTGTCTCACTTCATTCTTGCGTAAAGTCCAGCAAGGATCTAGAAGATAATTGATTGTGCAAGCCAAGTAATTGACCCTAATGAGAGTAAATTGACGGTTAACTGAAAACGGTACATAATTTAAAGTTAAATTTTTAGAATTATATGTTCCTGATCGGCGACGATCTTACTGTGGCGCTAACATTTTACTGTGGAGGAACTATGACGCAAAAGAATTTAACTGTGGCTGGGCCGCCACATTAAACCCATGGAGAACCCTGGAATAGTTTATTTTAAATTTACTAATCACAAATAAAAAAAAAGAAGTCAAGGCCAATGAAAGGTCAAGGTCCAAAATGTTGATGCATTTGAGCAGCTCTCACTAATATGTATCAGCATATTAGGCTTGAAATAATATCTTGAATAGTTTTTTTTTAACATCTTTCATAAATTTAAGAAAAAGTGAAGTCAAGGTCAATGGGAAAGTCAAGGACCAAAATGTTGATGCAATTGAATAGCTCTCATCAATATATATCATTTCTGTCTGAGATCTGTATCTCACTTCCATTCTCAATGATCGTGTAATGTAGGACAGCGCCGTGAGAATTCCATCGGCAACGAAAGTTTTTTGACTTGTCTATATAGCCAAGCGGTCTAGCAAGCTGTTCATGTACTGCTAGGAGACAGATTCCGTAGGTCGAGAGTACAACCCCGGGTTGGGGCGGAAGTGGATATCCTTATAAAAGAGAATTTCTCTGTGCTTTCTATATTAATATTTCTTCACTTAGGGCAGTTAAGATAAAAATTCATTCATTACAATGTGTATCGATAACGATCCTCCATAATAAAACTAATGTCCAAATAACTGTATCTCACTTCCATTCTCAATGGCCGTGTAATGTAGGACAGCGCCGCGAGAATTCCATCGGCATCGAAAGCAAGTTTTTTGACTTGCTTAGATGACCGAGCGGTATAGCATGCTGTTCCTGCATTGCTAGGAGACAGATCCGTAGGTCGAGAATTCAACCCCGGGTTGGGGCGGAAGTGGGTATCCTTATAAAAGTGAATTTCTTTGTGCTTCTATATTAATATTTCTTCATTTAGGGCAGTTATGTTAGTTTAAGAGTTGTTGTAAAAAGTGCTTTATATATCCTATATTAATATTTCTTCACTTAGGGTTGGGTTATGACCGTTATGTTAGTTTAAGAGTTATTGTAAAATGTGCTTTACATATATATATATATATATATATATATATATATATATATATATATATATATATATATATATATATATATATATATATATATATATATATATATATATATATATATATACATGTATATAAGTGAAGTCAAGGTCAATGGGAAAGTATATATATATATATATATATATATATATATATATATATATATATATATATATATATATATATATAACGTCTTGAGTGCAAAATTTTACTGATCTTTTTTAAGTCAATAATGACATACTTAGAAGAATGTTTACAATGTAATTAATCGCTTATTAGCTTAGATAACTGTAAACCCTTTTACATTCCAGTTGAGAAACAGACAGGCTTACTGACAACTATCATTATTTTCGCCCTTACGATTCTGAAGTACACATGTAACAGTTTGGTCTTTTCTTCTTCTAACTAGACTTAAATAACACCTCCTGCTTTTCCATCTGTATTTTATCTGTATGTTTTTGTATCTTACATGTCTTTTATATGATATGTACTTTTCCTTCGCGGAGGTTGCAGAGGTGTAAAAATATGTGTTAATTATGACTAAATATAGAAACTTTAATTTCAGCTTAATTAGTTAGAAATAAAAATGTAAGGTATGTTCATGTATTCCTTTTTTTTGGTTTTGAACAGAAATTTTTTTTTTTTCGGTCTTAAAATTTTCCTGTCAAACGCATATATGCACAGGAGACTACTAGTATATGGATGCTTGTAAAATTATAAAATATGAAGTTACGGACTGTTCTGCACACTCTCTGTCATAACCCAGGCCACAAGTTTGACATCTGATTTTTACACTTCCCAAGTACTTCCTTTTTGGAACTTCCAACACGAATCGTTACACCCGGTAACTTAGAGATTTGCTGTTCATCTCGGTCAAAAATAAATGTACATTGTCCCAAGCTTGTTGAAAATTAAGATAAAATGTTACAATAGCACATTCAATAAATTCTAGAGTGTAAGGATTTGCTTATTAGTCCATTTAATGATGAATTCTATCATCGAACACATGTGAAAACTAGTGGTTAGTCACCATAACAATGTTTCCTTGATCCAAAGCTTTTCATTCATCAGTTTGGTAGATCAGCAGAATTGAGAATGTGGAATACAGCGCAAAGAATCCCCCAATTGTATTAGAATTTCTATGAAGTATGGATCTGCAAATTTCGATAGAACAATATCCCACCAATGCTAATGTTGATACATGTATTTTTCCCAAAAAGTGACGAATGTTTCGGGTTAAAGCTCATGATTTAGATACTGATAATACATGTACCAAAATTATAATCACGCCATTTTTTAAAATTATAGTGATACAATGATATTTTAAATACATTACAAGAAATTTGGCTCCTGTATGCAAAAGTCGATTTATTACGCGTTCTCCTGTGAACTTATGTACTGTAAGTAAATAGTACGCTATCACAGATTTTATAATTTTTTTATCGTGATTTCCATTAAAAAAAAATGGAGAAAGAGAATTCTTTCATATGCATTAAGCACTGGGATTACAGTGTAATGCTTCATCTAGCATAAAATGAAAAGAAACACCCAATCAAGCTTCTAGTTCAATAAAATAAAATAATGAAAAATAGTTGGCGAGTTTTAGAATTAAGAAAGAGATTGATCTTTCCATCCGTCAAAGGCTTACTGAAAAGCTTTCTCCATCAAGAAACACCATAAATGAATCATTTAGCATAAATTATTTCCTTTTGCATATGTGTAAACAGATTTGCGCCTGTTCCTTTCTAGGTGCAAATGTGCTTACAGGATTATTTTTGCATATAGGAAAGTGCGTTTATACAGCGAGGTATGCTGAAATGCGTATGTTTACATATACGCATATCATTTGCTTATGAGTGAACTCGCTATATAAACAGGGTATAATCTAGAGTATATCTTCTGATACCAGTCTAGAGGTCTCCGCCCTCGCGATCAATCGGAATTCCCATGGGTACTAATTGCGCCTTTTTCTAAGCAGATCTATTTTTGTATTCATAAGAAGCAGAATTTATCCAAAAACTTTTACATGAAAAGAAGAAGTCACTTACTGTGGCCTTCAATTTAACAATAAGATATATCGACGATGTTTTATCGATTAACAGTTTTCATTTTCATTTCAACGTTAAATCGACATCTCCATGGCACCTGATCCCAGCCCTTATGTTTAGAGGTCCGTGTTTTCTCTGCTCCAAATTTGAATTGTTTCAATGGACTTTTGATCTTGATTGTTGTTCGTTATCTTTATATTACATACAGGAAGATTAATATTCTCTTCAAAAATATTCTAAGTATTGCATGTCTGGATTTAATGTGTAGAGCCGATCGTCTTTCAGATCGTAGCTTTTACTTTCCTTTCGGAAGATTCGTTTCTTTACTGGAAATGATGCAGAGTAGATACTGCTTTACAAGGACATGGGCCTTCCAATGTACTAACTTGAGGAACTTTACTATAATAGTTTTTTATTGAAGGCGTTATTATTCATGTAACAAATGATTGGCTTTTAATTCGATAAAACCATGATATTGACCACTAAATCTTATAGACATAACAGAGAAGAGGCAGGGGCTACAAGTGCAGTCAAATGACATTTATACACCCCTTCCTTCAATTCACAGACATTTTTGGTTAACGGATAAAGTAAAACAACGTCAACGTTTTGCTGTAAAGACATTACATCAGTAAATGGAAGGATAAATTTGGATCATCAGTACATTTCTGGAATAGTAATGTAACCTCTATTTCCGATCAGTTGGATCAGTCAAGTGCAAAAATTTAATAAACAGATATTTTGCAAACAGGATCATAAGATAATGTGTAAAACAGTTTCAAAGATGTTACTCTTAAACAGTATGCAAAACACATGTCCACTTTACTTCATCATAGATTGTGATATTCATTCAAATAAAACAGTTGAAGATACGATAAAGTAAAGTCTTGAGTCTTTATCCAGTATGATATATTAACATAAATATGCACTATGATGAATTATTCAGTACTAAATGTAATGTAGGCGCTATAGAAAAAACATATTTCTGAAATAATGTCTGAATGTTAATATGATATTTTAATTAGATTAGTATTATTTACAATGGTCGAGCTGTGCATTACTAAGATACTGTTATTGATTCACTTAAGAAGCTAAAACTGTATCCTTATCCTGACTGAGAGCACGATACACAATTCTAACTTCTCACGTGCTGAGAGCTACTTCAGCGTGTTTTTGTTTTCCTTTTATCAATTACACATTCTCAATATTTGAGAGAAGCGATACAATATTCATCAAAATAAGAAGACATTCAAAGTGTTAATTAATTTCAGGAAAGGGTAATTACAGTATCATGCAAAAGTACTTTGTGAAAATTTAATAAACAGTATAAAATGTCGTGCCTTACCTGGTAATGGAATCGTGCGTTTTCCTTGCTTCCACATACAAGACTGATATACCATCGTGTTGTTTTCTATATAGTTATAATATCAAAGTAGTACACGCCTACATTTTATTGGCATATTGTAAAACCTAAACTGTCTCTCCATTTTCTTAGACGTGGCTGCAGCAGAAAATTTTCAAGTTGTTCTTTTAATTCAGACACAATGAAATTATTCATAAAATAAAATACACCTGCTTTTCTTTAGTCATATGACAATGTTGTCTCTTTTGTTCACTACATAATTATACAAATCTCCTATCATCACAAAAAGAAAATAGTTAAGGAGATAAACCAGTAGATATATTTTTAGTCTTCACCATAGTGAACTGGATATCAGTAAAATCTGGATTCCTGTGTTTAGGGGTTTTTTCAACTCATTCATTTACTTCTTTTTATTTCAATAATTATATTTATTATACATTATTAATAATATGGATGTCTGGTCTAAAAATAATTTGTTTGAATAATACAAATGTCTTGCAATGACGCGGTTGTTCTTGTATGATAATGAATTAGTAGAAATTCTAATGATGAATAATAGACATTTATCATGCACACCTCTACCAGAAAAAAAATTAGCTGATGCTCCCTTAAAAATAGGGAAATCTGGTGTGTAGTGTAGCATCTTTTATATTCACTGTTTATCTTAAATATTTGGACAATCAGAATAAGTGAAATCCTTAACGAGTTGTATATTGTCAATAAAATAAGATTTTTCCATCAGTGAACCAGTTTGTTTATGAATTATCGAGCTTAACTTCGGAGCGATATCATCTTTTTCTTGCCACAAATATATTGATTTATTCAAACTCGTCATTACCTTTTATTTGATTTTATGTCGGAGTCAGTCAGTAGAAAATAGATATATTTGTCTGTTATTGCTCATTGACAATTCATTTCCTGTTTCCCTTCAATAGTTTGTTAAACATTACGTTTCAAACTAAATATAGGTGCCATTGGAAAAAATGAATCAATGGCAAACATTCTCTTTCAAAGAGAAAGTTCGAGAAACTTTTAATGTCAGTCACATAAATAGTCGCAACTTAGTATAAATACTTGTGCAGTCCTCTGCAAGGTTTTAGCTGCATAATCTACTCACGTTCAAATAAGGGTGAGGGATTCTTTAGTTATTTATGGAAAAAGCATATATCAGATGAACATCTCTATCACGTTTTAGCAGTATCTCAATTTCATTTTATCAGTAATCCATATTACTACCGCAAAGAATGATGTCATATTATAGACCTCTACATACAACACAAGTAAATTGTACACCGAGTTTGCTTATTAGCAAACATTAATCATACAAATTCTACTCAATATGCTGTGTTGCATTAGTTCTCGAATTATAAAATATATAATTAATGAGGACCATTTCTAAATAGTAATGACACACGTATGTGGATTAATTATGAAAAATGTAAAAAATAAATAAATAAATAAATAAATAAAATAAAGTATAACTTTACCAACCATTTATGATAAAAGATATCTTCTAAAGTCTTGCTTGCTTAATCACTTAGATAAGAAACACATCAATGACAAACTGACTACTAAACATTATGATAAACGTGAGGACTTCAGCTTCCCTTTTTAACGTAGCAGTATATAACTGCATATGGAGTTAATGTGATACGCAAGATATGTTCTACGTACGAACAATTTATAAAACGAGGCAGGGTATTGACAAATAAGTTAATGACACAAGAATATTACTAGTCTGGTTTTAAGTCAACATTTTTAAAACGCTATGATGGAAACAATGACCTTGTTTGCAAACAATTTGTCGTCAAGTTTCATAATGAGTTGAAATCATGTGTTTCCTTTAAGATATTTGTATCATAAAGCGAAAGGTTTATGAATATTATGAGTATAGCGAAGATATGACAACTAAACTGCACTGTAAAGCAAGAAAAGACTACACAATATAAGAGCCGGAAAAACAAAGGTTGTATCTACCGTTTCGTTGTTATCGTACATGTCAAGGTCAAGCCACATTTATTCTTAGCGTAAACTCGTAAACAACATTCATTTGGAGCATGCAAAGATGGGAAATATGTTCTAATAATCTTTTTTGAAAATTGTATTAAAATTCTTGGTCTATCGACATTCATATTTTGGTACTTGCGACCATGATTACTTCTTCAACTTTTCTGCGCACGCATAGAATAAGGAGGAAAAAGTAAAGTTATATTTTCGTCTTGGGCCATACAAAAATTATTTTTTTCTCCATAAAAAAATATTTTTTTTTAGGTTCAAAGACCTGTAATTTTTTAAAACCTAATACTTTCTGAAATTGAACAAAAAATGTACGGGTCATGCAAAAATTCTATGTTTGTCAATTTTCCCGTTTGTGCGTCACATGTTAAGTCAATTGTTGACTGTCTCTTCCATAAAGCCATTATATATTCACAGTGAATTCTCTATATATTTTTCCGATTACCCGATCATGACAAGGAGCACACAGTAGTTGTGTCCGCCGATGTAAAGACGAATAATGACCACCGTAGAAAAATGACCGGGAGGTCATCAAAAATGACCCCCTAGCCGTAGAAAAATTTAATTTTTGTAGAAAAAGAACCCTAGGGATCAGTTTTCTAAATGAAACATGAAACTGACCCCCGTTGAAAAATGAATACCATCCCAACAGAGTGATACAAAGTCCAAAAGAGATGATTGATGAATGCTAAGGTATGGATCTCAACGTGTAATTCTCTTGCGTTTTTCTGATTAACACCAGATAAATACGCAATTAAAATTTGTTTTAAAACAATACATGTGTTTCTTTTTATTAGACCAATGGTGTTCTCACCTCAAAATTCCAGCTCAAAATTAAAATTGCCCAATAGATACGTCATAGTGGCTATTGGTTAAAGGTAAGTGAGGACGATATATTGTGTTCACTAAACCTATTATTTTGTTTGAACATTTTCTCGGACATGACTTAGATAAACTTAATGAAACGTTTCAGAAATGAAAGAAGTTCTTTAAATATTTTGATTTTTAAAACTGACCACCGTTGTCATGGGGAAAAATTGTAAACTAATATTCTCACGGTTGTCTTGTAAAATCTTCGGTGATTTCACTCATTCAAATTGCATAGATGATATCACCTATTCGAATAGGTTATATCACTTATTCTAATAGAAAATAACACCTTTTCGAATTAGTGATATGAAATGTGAATTTGTGATGGAAATGAATAGGTGATATCACCCACTGGAATTGATGATATCAGCTTTTTGTTTTGAATTGGTTATAACACCAATTTGAATTGGTGATATCACTTATTTGCATTTCTTATAACATTAAAAATGAATGCTCCCTTCCTCAAGACAATCTGGCGTCAATGCACAGTAAAGGATGAACTTTCAAAAGGTTTTCAAAGAGAATTTTATTTCCTTAGCAGTGATTCCAAATTGATGAAATTGATTTCATTACTCTTGCACAAACTTTTGAAGAAAGATAATAAAGTTTCTATGGACTTTCTATACTTAGTTTGAGTCATAACCTCTATTATTTCGGCATTGCATTGATAAAAAAACTGTAGATTCTCTGTAAGATCATTTTTGGCACAAAGAGGAGGGGGTACTGTTTTTAAATTACAATATATATTTACACAAAACAGACAACCTGGTTTGTATATGAATACCCAGATTTCTATGGACTGCCCTTTTCTCCTGTATCAGTATTCTCTCTGTTTTAATTATCTGTGTGAAAAGAGACTGAACTTTCTACTTCCTGTATAAAGTAAATGTACACACTATAGTCTTGGGAGCAGTTGTTTCTCATTTGTTTCATCTTTTGCAATTTTACTGATTATAGACGTTTTTGGCCAATTATCAAACGGAATGACCTAGGCGTCTCTAAACATCAAGTAATTCTTCTTATTTAAATTGTAAGGCACTTTTGCTATATGTCTACTTGTATGTACACTATTTAAATCATTTGCTTGAAAAAGGGATTCGAACGCAACTTAATTAACCGCTAGATAGACATTGTAAATAATTCTCTCTCTCTCTGTCTCTCTCTCTCTTTCTCTCTAGTATAAGCGAAAATAAAGTTTTTTTTTTTTTAAAAATCAATGATACATAAGTCAAATCAGAATGAACTCATTTCCACATAGTGTACATTGATGTCGATTAAAGTTGTCGATTCATCGTAAAAGACATTTGAAAGATTTAATGAGAATAAAAGATTATTGCTATTTCTTCAATTTATCTCAGATGAGCATTTTGTTCCATAGTCCTCTTGATTGATTAATTCTTAATTTTTTTTATCCCAAAAATATATCCCTAATAAAATCTACTAGGGGTCATTATTCTACGGGGGGTATTCAGATTTGAAGAGTAACGCCACTTTTTCTAAAGGCAAAAGGGTCATTTTTCGACGTTGAATAATGACCGGGAGTCATAATTTTCGACGTTGAATAATGACCGGGAGTCATTTTTCGACATCGAGTGTGGGGTGGAGGGCTTTTTGGACGTCGAATAATGATTGGGAGTCTTTTTTTTTTTTTTGACGTCGAAAAATGACCCCCGGTCATTCTTCTACGGGGGTCATTATTCGTCTTTACACCGGCACCTGATCCCACCTCTGCTCTCAGAGGTTGGTTCTGCTCATAAATGGACCTTTTAGAACGATCACTGTTATTATATATTCACATTTCAGGATTTATTTGTCCAGGATTCTTTCCATTGCGCTGGTTTCTGCATTATCATATCGAAAGTATAAGATATTTTAAAGTTAGACGAATGAGAAAAAAAATTAAAAAAAAAAAAGAAAATAACATCTCTCAAATCCTTTCAAAATTCCAATTAAAAACAATTATAATATATGAAAGGTTAAAAATAAATAAGTAGATGGCAGACTTTCCTCGTCATGTGAAATTTCATTCTAGTTCGTTATCGACGACATGTTTACCTTATGAATTACAAGTTTGATTAAATTATATATATATAGAGAGAGAGAGATGAGTCTGCCAAGTTATGCATTC